GGAAAGAGGGAAACCAACTTTTTTCTCCGAAAAAATGGGAGGTCCAAATGGGTGTTTGTTTATTTGTTTTTTGGCTGGAACCCCCATGGGTGAGGTGTTCCGAATGGGTTTTGCTTTGAAACCATGGGTGTGAGTAAGAATGTTTCCTCCACGGCTTCAAGGCTTTCGTTGGGGTTTGCTTTTAGGGCAACCTATGGGCGAGCGACTCGGGGTGGGGTCAAACATGAAATGAGCAATGGTCACAACCAGGGGACGGAGATGAAGCATGTTTATGTTTCCGTCTGGTTGACACCTTCGCCGTCAACACTTTTGCAAACAGGCTGTAGTCAGAATTGTCCGGTTTTTGTCGGATGTGGCAAGATTTGGAATGCCAATCTTGTGAAGACAATCCATCGCCTTTTTCTATTGGGGTCAGGTTAAACGTAATTCGAATTGGCCGAGGTTGCTTTTGGATCCCAATTCCTTGAGTTTTCTGTGGCGATCAGTCAGCCTGGGAATACTCAGTGCGGCTACGCTTTTGCTTGGCGCACTCCGCTTTCCAACAGGATTTTGTGGTTTGCCAAACGGGGTCTCTGTCTCAAGCCGCGTGTTCGCATGTTTTTTCTAGATCCCCCAGCTAGGTGCCAACTTTTACCGTCCCTTCTTTGGGGAGGGTTCCCCTACTAAAACAGACTGCGGCATAAAATCGGGTACCAACTTATTCTAGCCTCTCAAATCTGGAGGACCTAGTGGAACTGATGAACGATTTGAAGCAAACTGAAACCAGAGGAACTCATCTATGCACCGCCCCTGAGAGGACACCAACATGTTTGGTAGTGCCTAGTTTTGGTGGCTACCGATGGGCTCCTTCCGCTGAACTCAGGTCGTTTTGCTCGTTAAAAGAAGAAAAAAAACGCGTTCTGCTCGTGGAGGTGAAGTGACCCCAAGAGGCCAAGGAGCCTCCCCTCAAATGCCCCACCCCACCCCCCACCCCACCCCACCCCACCCCCCCCCCCCCAAGAAATAAAAAAGGAAGAACACACCCCCAAAAAGAAGAAGAAGAAGAAGAAGAAGAAGAGGAGGAAGAAAAGCACAGAACAAATAGATATATAAACAAGCCAAGCAAAGTGTGGCCTTCAGTTTGGTCGCGCTTCTCTTTGCCACTCGCTTCGCCCGCCGCCTTCCTTTCGCCGCCGGACGCTCGGAATGAATTTCTCGCACCGTGGCCAGGCGGCGGAGATTCAGGTGAAGGAGAGGGACATGGCAGCCATCAAGGCGGGAGACGGCTTTCATGTAGCGGTTCCATTCTTTGCTTCAATGCTAGACTTTTTGCTGTTCCAGTTTTTGGTTGCCGGGAGATGGTTCCATGGTAGACCCACAAATCTAGGAGTCTTGGGAATCGGTTGATTCCCAACCCCCAAGGCTCTTTTGGGGTTTTGCAACGAGTGCGAGGGAAAGACGGGGGAACTGGACATGACTCCCCTCAGCTTGGATCCGGGGCTGCGGTTCCACCCGGGTTTTGCCAAGGGGGGACTTGCCGTGGCTCCCATGGGCCGGAGCTTCGGGATAGTCTGCACGGACTAAGCGCTTGATTCACAGGGGTTCAAGAGGAAATCCTGATTTTTTTGCAGTTGGACCGTGCTATTGTTTTCAGTTGACAACAAATCCTGGGCCGACCTTTTGTGGACTAGCGGCCCAGTGTCAAAATAGGGGGGATGCCTAAAAGTGGCGCCGCGTCCTTGTCCTGGCGGCTTCCGTTTGAGCCAACCACCGAGCCTTCGGCTTCTCGAGGCGAAGATCTCCTCCATGGGCGATGCCAAGCGACAGGCGGATGGACGCTCGAGCCGTGGGTGGGGCGAAATGGGAGGGGGGTGAAACGGGGGGCGAAAGGGGGGCGAAATCGTCGCAACGTGGTTTTTGGGCCATGATCATGAGGTAAAGTGGAGGCAGGGGCGTCCCAAAATCAGGATGATTCTCGTCCCCAAAATGATCTCACGAGGTAAATTTGGCCGCATAGAACATGTCCCCCGCAACTCGATTCTACTGATTGATACTTCCGGAAACAAGCATAGCATCCCTGATACTTCCGGAAACAAGCATGGCATCCCTGATACTTCCGGGAAGAAAAGGAAGAAGACACATCTGCGCATTTTGCGTGATGCTTTCGTTTTGGCAGAGATCGGTGTCCAAAAAAGGGATGTCCCAGGTCAGGGATCCCTGCATTTCCCATGTTTGGGCCTCCAAAAGGGGCGATCGTTTCGCTAGCAACCACCAGCCATTTAAGGGGAGAATCCAGTGACCCCTGTAGTCGTTTCTTCTCTGTAGTTTGCTCTGATGTTCGAATATTGGACAGCCGGAGCCGCTTTAGATCGGGAAGTCATTTACCTAATTTCGCAGCATCTCCATTCGCGGAGGCTGCAAAGCCAAACGTTGAAACTATTCATCGGCTCAAGCGCTACTGAGTGGAGATCTTGTTGAGTCTGGAACAGTCAACTTCCGCTTCATCACTGCAGTTTTGGGCAGAGGGGTGTGTCCTAAAAGAGTGTTGGGTGGTTCTTACACATGGTGGTTTGGCTTTGCATGCTTCCAACAGGGGATCCTTCAGGGGTCGCTCTCTTTCCTGTTTGGAAGGATCAAGCCTGGCAGTGGGCCATTGGAACGGGTCTTCTCAATGAACTACCACGACCCCTCCTTTTCAAAATGGTTTGTCGCATTCGCAGTGTCCTTTTGGCTTTGCTTGCCATTTCCAAAAGGGGGCATGGCCTTTTAGGTGTCCTTTTTGGTTGGTTTGCTTCAAAACTAGAGGGCCCTGGTTTTCCTGGTTCAATCATCCACCGGGGCCATCCTTTTTTGCAAAAAGGACACCTATGGATAATCCCTTGACAACACAACGCTTCCATTCACTCTTGCCCTTTTCGTTTCCGACTGCGAGGCTTCGGCCGTGAGACCTTTTGGGGCATCCGCGAGGCGAGTTCTGCGGAGGAGCAGCTAGGTGAAGTGCAGCAGGAGGCCAGACCGAACTGGCCGCGAAAAGGGTGTGTTGTTTTTTTGGGGGGGAAGGATCAGGGGTTTGTGGATTGAGGGTCAACAAAATGGTTTTGTTCGCCGTTCAAACCCAAAACCGTCCATTCAATTTGTGGGAGGCTCCAATTTGGTCCTTGGGGTACAAAGTCGGCCTTTTTTTCTTGGCGGTTTGCCAGGGGGTTTGGTCACATCCCTTTTTGGGGAACCTGCAAACACACCCCAGGCAAAATACCCTTTGGGGGAGAACATAGACCAAAACTGGAGGCCCTGTTCGTGTGTGTGTGTGTGTGTGTGTGTGTGTTTGTTCTTTTGCACCAAGCAAAAAGGGGAAACGGGTTGGCGAATTCGAACGAAAGCCAAAAGGTCAGTGGTCGAGTCTTTGTAGATCAAAGCACCGCCCCAACTACTGGAGGCTTCAAGGCAATGGTCTCCAAGCAGCCGTTTGGAAGAACGGTCATCCTCTTTGTCGTTTTTGCGCAGGAACCTAGCAGAATACCCTCTTCTGAGCTTTGATTCCCAGGTCAAAAGTCCAGAGGTCCCTTCCTCCGCATTCGCTTCGAATGAACGACCTTGCCTTTTGGCTGTTGTGGGAAATGGCCAACTCAGGCGTCCAAAGGCTTTGCTCCAGAAGCCATCGGCGACTTCCGGGCACATGGAAGCTGTAAAAGACGAATTGCTACAGACAGAAAAGCTGTCGGGACTGGATGTTTCACCTTGCCCTTGCTTGGAATTGATCCCAGATCCACGTAAAGTTCAAAGAAGCTAGCCGCTAACTTCACTCCAAAACGCCAGTGAGGAAGTTGAATGTTGGCAAATCGTGCTCTTCTTGTGGAATAGGCACGGCCCCATTTTCATGTTTTCCCGAAATTTCATAATTTTGACCCCGGATTAATAAACCCGTCCTATTAGCGGGGGTGTTCTCCTCCGGTCTTGATTCCCTAAACCCAGGGACACCCTATTAATAAGCTGGGGTTGATTAATCAGAGGTCAACATTAGCTTGTTTGGCACGGGCATGCCATCTTCATTTTCACACACGGAATCAGGGGAAATGGTCTGACGCCCTTGGGGCTTTGTCCTCGGATTCTGGGGATTGGATTCGGGTTTGGCTGATTGAACACAGGTGGGTTTGTCTTTTTGGATATACCCCGCTTGGTTCGGTGGTTCTGTTCATGCGCGGAAGGAATCCATGCAGAATTCCAATTCAGCCTGAGGTTTTGAACATGCGCGACCGCCTTGCCCGCATTGACGCGGACTTGCATGAGACCGCCGAGCGCAAGTTGGGGCCCGAGCAATGCGCAATCTGACTCGCTCATGGCTCGTTTGGGTGGACCGGCAAACGACGCCCCACCCCCGGTTCCTTCCCATGCTCTCAAATGAGCCAACAAGTAGCCAGCCATATTGTCATATGGTCTCACATGTGGTACAGGACCATAGGTGTCCGTTTTACGTTATATAGTTTGTCGGAAGATGGATGGCACCGGTTTCCCTTTGGTTCTACTCATGCACCAGTGCCACGTATTTTTTCCAAAGGATACCAATGTTCTGGACAATGTTCTACCCTGCGAGCAACCCCGAAAACTCAGCTCCATGCCATGCCAGGCAGTCGATCGAGGCGGAGATCGGCAGGCTGCAGAATGGCATCGGCGAGTCCAAGGAAATGAGGGCGACGTTCCTCGGTTGGGACCCGTGGAGTTTGATTTTCCGGAAATTGCGAAGGGTTCTTCAAAGACCTGGACACGATTACACCAGCAAGTAGCACTAGGCTATTGGGGGGGGGTGGTCCACTATTCCGAGGCAACTTCGTTGCGATATTGGGGATTGCCGTAGCTTTGGTGAGCCTTGCAGGGGCTTGGTGCCAGCAAGGGTGGAAAGAGCTTGCCTTTGCCCAGCAAGCTGCAACTCGGTTTTGCTTTTGGCAGTCGGCGGAAAGCGAACTTAGTCTAGGTCCCCGAGTAGTGCCCTTGTACCAACTTTGTTGGTTTGGAGGGTTCCCCTACTAAAAAATAGACTACGGAAGAAAAGTTGGTACCCTAATTCTAACCTCTCTACTGGAGGACCTAGATGTTGCTGGTTCATGCCCTTCACAGTTTGATCACTTCCTATGAGGTGATGCGATCATGTGCTTTCGTGCTGGCCGCGTTGGCAGGTGCTGCAGAAAGGCGACTTGTGTCAGCTGATCCGGGTGCGCGTTTCCCATAAGGTCGTTTTTGGGGGAAACAGGGAAACAGGGGAACATCGGGGGGAAGGGTTAGGTTAGCCGGCTGGAATCCTATGAGTTTTGTCTGGTGCATTCCCTCAATGCCCATAGCTGTTGGTCGGCTGCAGGATTCGGGGGTGCCCCAAAATGGCAGGAGCCCCTTCGTTTGGGGAGGGCCTTTTGAAATGGAAGAAGGACGCTCACCAGCTTCTGAGGCCTTTAAGGATGAAAGGGAACCTGCAATTTGCTCTGTACCGCAGTTTCTTTTGGGATTGCTCACCAAAATCCAGAATCCAATGTCACCACCTGCCAGGAACATCGAATGTGAACTCCAATCCGGCGTCACCAAATTCCAACGTCACCAAACTCATGCCCCAAAATCCTGTCTCACCCGTTGCAGTCTCACACACTCGCTCCTGTTGCAGGAGACCTTGCGCCTGCGCCAGCTCTCAGTGGCGGAGTTGCGCAGCAACCGGGATGAGGCGAGCGGAGCGCGTGCTCGATGACGCTCCCAAATTTCAAAGACAGCGCCCTGAATAGGATGCCAGCCGGCCGGCTGGCCAGTGAAAACATCAGGTTTGTCAGCTGATGGAAAGGATCCCCTGCAACCCAGGTGGGTGGATGCATCCTTCAAGGGCGCCTGTGAGTGGTTTCTCACTACCCCAAACCACTACACAGGACATGGAAAATGGGAGATTAGCAGCCAATGGCCGTGTAAAGCAGGCGCCGATATCCCACCATCTCAATCCCTTTTGTTTGGTGACTTCCACACTAAAGATAGAATCGATCCCAGCGGTTCCGCAGCAAGGATTTTTGGGGGAGAAGAGACCGTCTTAGATCCTGCAGATTTGGCATGGAACCCGCGCTAAAAAGCATGTGTGGAGGAATTTCCTTTTGGGGGGGACGCTCGTTTTGGGTTTCAGGTTGATTGCAGGTGACTATGCAGGATCGCAAAATGATTGAAAGGTTTTCAAGAGCCAGCCAGGAGTAGGGAGTATGGTGGGCCACAAGTTGTCGTGCCACCTTCAAGAGAATGTATCGTTTGCAGAATTGTTTGGTCGGGACAACTTGGAGTTTATCGGGGATGCGTATTTTGGTTCTAGGCAAGTACCCCCATTCATGTTCAAATTCCCTTTTCCTGTTTCAAGGGCATATTTTGAAACTCAGGTTTCCGTGGCAAAACCCTTTGTTCGGTCAGGGGTTGATCTCATGCTCAACGGGTCTTTGGGCTCAAGAAAGCTGCTGGTGCGGGGTGTTCAGGGGGCACGCCTCCAACTGGTCGGTTTCCACACCAAGCGGTACCCACTCTACCAAAAGGGGTCGGGCCTGGGTTCGGAGGCAACCAAAAGGCTGAATGCAGGTCAAGCAGCCAACTAGCCAGCCAGTCAGCCAGCCAGTCAGCCAGCCAGACAGCAAAAATGGTTTAGGGGAACCCCAACCAACCAGCCAAGTCCACCAAACTTCGCCCCTCGTGCCCTCGCTCGCAGACTGAGCGCCAGCTCTCGCAGACTCTGGGCGAACGAGAGCAGTGGCGAGAGAGCCGTTGCCTAGGATCGCCACACGTCGAGGTGTCCTTGAAATTGGTTTGGGCGTTCCTTCCCGGCTTGAGAACATCAGTTTAGCACCTGGATTTGAGAGCAACACTGTGTGCCCCTGATGAAGCGGGTGCCACGGACACTGCACGGAGCTACTCCCGGAAAGTAACACACAAAACCACAGAAAAGGGCAGATTCCATGCCTATGCATTGTTATGTGTTTCAGTTCCGTGTTGATCTATGAGTGTGAAGACTCCATTTTTGTGGTTCCTTTGGTACAAGCAAGTCTGCCAACATGTCATGTATCAGAACATCCTCCCTTTCATGCGCCAAGCTGCATGCGGAACAACACTAGCTTGGGTAATTACATCCCTTTCATACACACATAGTCACGGTTATCAAGTTGAGGCACCCCCTTCCCGGTCAACTTGAGGCTTTCCCTCCAAATGCATGTAACACGCACAATGACTTGTGCCATTTGGCAATTGACGCGACCCGAACGAAAAGCCCATGAAGGTACCTAAAGGGGATTTCCTGTTGGGCTCAAAATCAAACAGCTGTTGCGCCGGTTCCGTGTTCGAGCCCGATCTTTGAGCCACAGCCATTTCAGCTGTGAAATGCGTCAGTGCAGGTTTTAAGCCTGGTTCGCCTCCAAAGGCCACGGGAAGCATCCTAGAACCCATTTGGGTGTTTCTCAACATGTTGGTCCCCAACGGTTGGTTTCCTCTTGGTCTCCCTAACCAAAAAACAAGTCGGGGGATCCCGTTTCGTTTGAACCCCTGAACCAGTTGCTCTTACCAACAGCTTGCGTGGCTCCAATCATTTCGTTCGAACGGGACCATTTCGTTTCAATCTTGGGATCTCAAGCCAAATTGGTCACCCATCCAAACCGCTCCCAGGGGCACTCGCTGGGATCCCATCCGCTCGCCCCGGATCCGAGGCGCCGGAAAGGCCCAGAAGGACTTCGACGCCCAAGCGCAGGCGCGGCTTCGAAGCGGAGCGAGAGAAACGACTCGGAATGGGCTTGGGCGGAGTCTCCGCTGGTTTTGGAAAACTGAGAAGTTTGAAGTTTGCAAGGGCTTCCAACACCTGGGGTTCAATTTTTCAGCCACAGCCCTGTACAGCAAATACACCAAGAGCTAGTCCTCCAAATCCCAAGGCTTTTCCCGGTTTTTCCGGTTTCGGGGTTTCCCAAGATTTTCGTGGGTTCCCTGCAAGCCCCCCAAGTCGACGTTTGAACAGCTCATATTTGTCAGAGGCTTCAGTCGCATTTCTGCGACTGGGCTTTTCATAATTTCCCTTGGTTGCCTGGAGGGATGCTTTTCCTTGGTTTCCTTGCGGTTTCCATCCATCCATCCATCCATCCATCCATCCATCCATCCATCCATCCATCCATCCATCCATCCATCCATCCCGCCGGGCGGCCCGCCGGGCGGCGACTTCGCTCCGGAGAGTACATCTTGTGCTGACGCCTTGCAGTGGCTCCGCCGTTTTGCTTAGTCTTACTGTGAAAGGAGACGTTGAGTCTTACAGCAAGATTGACAAGGCGCACACCTACATAGTATATGCTGACATGCTTCTTCCAGGAACGTCCACGCCGCTGAGTGCTACGCGGCGCATGAAGAGCGGCTGGCTCTTGATCACCTGAGATAGCAGCTGGACACACAGGATGCGCGGCGCGCGATCAACGCCCCGCTTCATTGCAGCATGATCTCCTTTATTCAGACGACAAGATTGCGGCATTGAGGAAGCGAGTTCATCGAGCGGTTTGGCAGCTGAACGCTCGGTTTGTGGACGTAGTGGGTTGCGATACCGTGAGCCTCGCTTCCCTGGGCTCTTTTGCTGAGCTAGTACACAGTCTTTGCATCGAAGACGCTGATCAAGCCAGATTCGCCGATCGCCTGTTCGAATGCAGGATGGCTTGTTGGACTGGAAGGCAACGTGTGGAACATGGATCCACCATTGCAGCTCGTGGAACATGGCGATCTTGCTGAAATGGCAGGCTCAGGACTGATCCGCAGTTGATTTTGTCTGCGACGAAGCGACGGCGTTGGATGGCGTTGGATTGCCTGAGAGAGTACATGGCTTGCGTTTCTCCATACACCCAGGTCTTCATGACTCAGCCATGCTCGGACTCGATGGAGCCATCCCCCACCCCCCCACCCCACCCCCCACCCTCACACCCTTCCACTCATCCCTCAGCTGTCTGAATTCGAACAGTTGGTGCCGGGCTTGGTTGCTCGATGGAAAGCCCCGAGCGCGGAGCCAGGCCGCAGCCTTTGAGCTGGACCAATGGCGCTCCGAGGTTCCGCTGGGTTCCGGTTGCCGGGTAGCGGGTTTCGCTTACCCATGGGTTACCTTCAGGTTCCTTGTCATGGGCCTGGTTGAGTCTGTTCAACCCATAGGTAGGCTGAAACAAAAACTTATCTGACCGTTTTTGTTCGGGACTGGTCGAGCTGCTGGTTGTTGTCGGACTGTTATTTTTTTTGTTTCAGCTGACGAGCTGCGCCGGCCTTCACAGATATGCATGTTTTTGGGAGCGATCGGCTAAGAAAGGAGGTGCTTTCAAAATGTATCGAGAAATCCGAGTAATTGGAGGGGGTAGAGTCACTAGGTGAGTTGAGTTCCGAACTCCCGGTGCTAGGATTTGGGTTTGGTTCGGGGTGTAGCCTCCAACTTACCTTCCGAGGACCCCCCCAACCCTGCCGTGATGGAATTCCTTCATAGGGGTTCCAAAGATATGTTGGCGGGTTCTGGGACTACAACATTTTGGGTACCCTCCCTGCCACGCGCATAGCACCTCGCAGGGGGTTCCTAGAGGAAACTTGTCTTCCAGGTACCCTCCAGCAGGTGCATTATGTTTGTAGAAGGCTAGAATCCAAAGAAGTTCTTGCTATACCCTACCACCAAAAATGGCGACTGACAGGGACCTCTTTAAAAGGAACAAAGGGTCTTCCCCCCGCCCCCCCCGCCCCGGAACGTCAGGTTGCAGGCTGGTTGGAGGCTAAGTCTCAGGTTTCGGCCAACTTGCCAGGCGCAGGAGCTGGTCACTGCCCTTCAGCAGATAGAAGAAGAGGATCCAGCGGCCGGGGGGCCAAAGAAGTTTGCATTGCGTGGCTTTTCAAACTGAGACCGCGAAACAACAAATAAGTCTTGGGCAGGATTGTTTGGTGAGTTTCGAGGGTGTGTGTGTGTGTGTGTCTTGTGGGTGCCGCAGCAGAAGCACTTGCGATTTGGAGAGGTGAGATTTGTTTTTGTTGGACACGCCCAGAGCCAACCCATCAGTTTGGTGGGGGTCGCTTTGGGGTTCTTTGGGGTTTCATAGTCGTTGCTCGCCGGATGCTGGGATTGGCAGGGTTTTTGATGGCCCAAAGGTGTCAAGGGAGGGGTCTTATGGGTCCATTGGAAAAACTAAAGAGGCTTGCGAGGCAGCGCCCATACTGCCGGCGCTTTGGGAGGAATCTCTTTGTGATGTGACCCATTTCTTGGGCGTTGATTTTGCAGGGACACGAATCGAGCCTTTGGTGGGGTCCGAGCAATTTTCCCAAAAAGGATTGCAGCTTCCTAAGTGCAATGACCGGGTTATGCTTGTGAATGCCCATTTCAGGCGAAAGGGGCTTCTTGTTCAACTGGAAAAGGGGCGTCCAACTAGATCCCTCGCATAACCCAAAAATTGGTTTGCACCTTTTGGCAGCCTTTTTGAACTGGGTTTGCCTTGGGTGGGTCTTACCCGAGCATTTGGACGCAGTTGCAACTCGACGCATCATTCGGTGGAGAGGAAGTGCTGCTTGGACCACTCAGAGTATTTTTTCCGATTTAGAGCAAGGAAAGTGCAGAATGAGGATGCTGGCTTTTCCCTCTGCTTGATGGTCGTTTGCAAGCCATGGATTACTGGCTACAGCAGTCGGTCTGAAACTGCCACTGCCATACTTAAAACATCTTAAAACTGACATTAGCGAGCTTGAGCTTGGCTATCCTTCGCTAGGTTTACAAGCTTATCTATTGGATTTGAAGGTTTGTATGGGATTCAAATTAAATGTTCCCTGAAGCTTATGTTCCCCTCGCCCGGCTCAGCTTCATTCCCTCCGACCGCTGGGACTTGAGCGGCGCAGAAATTGTTTGCGACCTGTTCCTGCTGTCACCCAACTCTGTACAAATGAAATTGCTGTGGGTACCGGGATAGCGTCAAATCAAAATACCTGCGAGAATCATGCAATGGACGGAAGCGTCAAATCAAAATTCCTCTACACCTGGACTGAAGCGCCTGCTTTATGGTGAAAACCTTAAGGAAACCGATGGTTTGGCGAGGTTTCCGGGTAGAACATGCTCCAAACCAATGAGACCTGCCACGGAAGCCTACCATTGGAGACCACAAATAGAAGTTTGGCTCCTTTTTTTTTTTTAGAAGTTGGCACCCCCTTTTTGGTTTGAAAGATGAAAGGGACACCAAAAGGACAACCGTTCGCCATTCTGAGAGGTCCGATTCCGAAAAATGGACCCACATACCCACCATCGCTTGTGACTTCTCAGGCTGTGCAGCCCCAGGCCGGGGCTTTCTTGCGATTTCGCCGAAAGTTTTTGTATCGGACGCGCGTGCGTCAGAAGTTGAAATGCATTGGGACCCGCACCCTTTTGTGCGAGCGTTGGTTGAGCTTTTGACGTGCGTAGTCGGTCAAGCAGCCTTCAGTGTTTTCCTAGCGGTTGGTGATATCCTTTGGGTTTCCACCCTGAAATCAACATGGAGATAGACATAGAGCTATGCAACTAAGACATGTCCTGCCGCCTCTTCCCGTGTTCAAACAGGGGCCAGCAATTCTTCGGTACTTTGGCGCTGCCAAAGCCAAGAAGCATCCCTTGGGACATGTTTTCCAGATAGGGTGCCACAAGTTCAGCCCAGGAGGATTTCATGGACGGCCTGCAGAAGGAGCTGGAGGAGGTCCGGGACGCTGTCATACCAGCGGCAAACGTGGGCGTTTGCACGGCGGGGTTTTCTCTGAAGCTCTGTCCATCGAACGTTTTGGCCAGGCGCCCGACAAAAACCGTCCGTGCTGTAAATGAAGGTCCGAGTGCTGAGAAACAACGTGGACTTCCAGGACTCTTGGCATGCGTTTTGGTTGTTCGTTCCTGGTGTTTGGTCTTGGTTGACCTGGTGGAATGTGAAACCGGTGACAAAAAAGAGTCCGTGTTTGGCGAATGATAACAAGGATTCAAACATTGCCACCTGCTCGTCTTGTTTGGCTTCTTGTCCATGTTCCGCTAGGGTAGCCGTAGCTTCCCCGTTTAGCGAGGGAGCCGAGCTTCTCCGGGAAGAAAACTCGAAACGGCTGGTTGCTTGAAAGGCACAATGGCTGAAAATAATGGCAAAGATGTCAAGCCCTAGAATGCTCCTCCCAACAATGGCATACCCCCCAAGAGAAGAAGAAGAAGAAGAATAAGAAGAAGAAGAAGAAGAATAAGAAGAAGAAGAAGAAGAAGAAGAAGAAGAAGAAGAAGAAGACGAAGACGAAGACGAAGACGAAGAAGAACAAGCCATTTTTCGGCAGAAATCATTTCCGGCTCCAGAGGCAATGGCTTCCTTCACAGCCCTGCAGGCGGACCACTGGCTTCGGTGCGAACATTTTCGGGCGGCTGAACGTTTTGGTTTCTGGTCTTGGTTCATGTGGGTGGCTCGTCTTTTTTGGGAGAACCTCCAAAAGTTTTTTGTTTTTGTGCAACGTTTCTTTTTTTTTGAGCAACCAGCAAAAGGGTACCCTCAAAGAAGACACGCCCAGGTGTCGCATGTTTGCCAACACATTATAACCATGTCGATGTGGTAGATCCAGGAGCTCCAACCGGGTCACCCGCCGCTTAGACGTCAACTTGCTTCAATCGGAGCCCATGGCAAATGGACGATTCGCGCCACGTCCGTCCAACCCTGTTGAGCCTGTTTGCCGAGAGCCTCACCTTTGCCTTCAAGAAATGCTTCTGAAGTCAATTGGCTACTGATTTTCGTTGATAAGCAACCAGCCATGAAGGCGTGTTTTGAAACTTGCCAAGATGAGGACCTCTGCTTGAAGGAACGCCAAATCGAAACCGAGCAGTTTTTGGTCCCATCCCCTTGTACATGCAAGACATGGCAGGACCATGGGGTGGATGAGCCTTTTGACGTGTTGAGATGAGCAAATCATTGAAGCCTCCCCCCTCCTCCCGCGCAAACTGCGTTCAAGCAACCAAACCCTTCCTTTTGCCATAAAATCAACCGGTGGATTCCTTACCCCTCCCTTTTGGAACACCGAACCTGGATTCTTTGAGCATGGTTTCCATGATGGTTGCAAGTTGAATCGCCCAGCCAGAGGCGCAGAGGCAGCAGGAGACTGCGGGAGTCTCCGCGGCTGAGCAACAACAGCGGGAGGCGGAGGTGCGCCAAGGCCCAAGTGGCAGATTCCAGGTGGCTTCAGCTTCCCTCTGAATGGTTCGAATGGAGTGGTTGCGGATTGGTGGTGGAGTGGCAGCGGAGTGGGAATTGGTTCTGGAGCAGTTCTGAAGTGGTTATGGAGTGGTTGTGGAGTGGTTGTGGAGTGATTATGGAGTGGTTGTGGTTTCGCATCCGGATGATTTTTCCTCCAGCTTCGAAGCTCCCACGTGGTTTGGATTGGTGAAATGGGAGCGGGACTCCGCATCGCTCAAGAACCAGGAATTCAAATCCAAATCCAATCCACCAATTGAATACACCAGGGTACCTGAGTCTCGGTACTGCCGCTTGGGGAACTATGGTCTTTACCCATGAAACCCGAACGTGAGAGAAACCTCCAGCGGAAAAAGGTTGACATTCGCTGAGACATTCCTCCATTAGTCTTTCAAAGCAGGGGGTTGTCTCTACATGGCACCCAAAGTGTTTGGAGCGCGCTTTACATTGAAACCCAACAAGGAAATGACAAACCACGCCCACATCAGGCAAGCCTAACTGCCGCGTCCCCATGTCAAGGGCCCGATGGGATTCCTCCCATGGACCTCATGGACCCTCTTTTTTCAAGACCCTCCTAAACCTTTGACCTGACTTAAGCACTGGGACTGTTGGAACTTTGGACTTGTGACTCTGATCTGTTCCTTTGACCTTGGACTTTTGACCTTTGGCAAATCACCAAAATCTCTTGGACTCCCCCCCCGTTTCCCCGGCGGTCAGCTCAAGTGGTTTGTTTGCAGCCAAGAAGCCTGAAGAAACCAAGTTCCCTGAACGAAGGTTGCAAAATAGACCCTAACTTTCTCCCCCCCCCCCCCCACAACCCCTCTCCCCCAACCCCTCTCCCCCCACCCCCAACCCCTCTCCCCCCACCCCCCACCCACCACCCCCCCACCCCCCACCCCCCACCCCCCACCCACCACCCCCCACCCACCCCACCCCCACCCCCACCCACCCCCACCCACCCCCCACCCACCCCTCACCCACCCCCCCCACCCCCCACCCCCCCAACCCCCCCTCCTGCCCCTCCGCCCCTCTGCGCCTCCGCCCCACGGCCGGAGCCGGGCTGAGGCCTTGAGGAGGCCGAGCTCGCGGCCAACCGCCTGCGATCGGAGCTGCAGGAGGCCTGCGGACGACTTTTTTTGTCTCGAAGCGCACGAGCACGGATGGCTCGTCTTTTTGACCGGCCCCCTCCCCAATAGATATCTATATCTATATATATATATTGTTTATAGTAATAACTTTATTTTCCTAGTATATACATATATATATCTATATATGTATATTGTTTATAGTAATAACTTCGGGGTGGTTTTCCTGTTTGAAAAACCGCAGAAACGGGTGGTACACACTCCAAAAGAGACGCACCCAACTCGCAGCCATGGGCCGATGTTTTGTCTTTCTTGGTCTTACATGAGAAAAGCCCACTGCCATGCTGTGACCTTAGCCACGTGAGTTCCATTTTATGGGTTGCCATCCTACATCTTTACTCTTGACTGAAATGAGGACACAACCTCCATCCCCGGGACTTTCTTCCAAGTAGGGGCCCCAACTAAGCAAAGCAGCCCAAATCCTTTTCAAGCCAAAGTGCCTCAACTTATTCCTTGCGGCTAGAGCCAGAAAGTCCGCACCCCAAAACCATCCGAATCATATGAAAGCGCAGGCCATTTCCGCGGTGGGCCAAATTGTATCTTTTGCGGATTTGAACACAAACCCAAACCTGGCTTTTCTCCCCTGCCCACAATTTGCGGGGGGTTCCAAACAAACTTGGTCAACGTTCAGCCCTAAACCTGGGAGTTAAGTCTAAACCTATGTCCGTGGGCTTCGGGGGATGTACCTGTATACCAGGTTCTGAGCTCGCAAAAGTTCTTGTCGCGCTGAAAAGAGACCCCCGCAATGAGCAGCGGTCAATTCTTGTGAAGGGGATGACATAGTGCCGCGCACCAAACGCTGTCGTGGCAATGGTTTTTGAGATTGATTCTGGCCCACCTGTTCAGATTTGATGGCAAACATTCCAAGGCAACTCAGCAGCAATATGCGGAGTTGTCAAACATCTGGGCCGTTTTTGTCGATAGACTGCTACCAGGTGCATTTTTGTTCAGCGCCATATTGGCACGTGGAGAAAGAAGAATGTGTAATGTTCCTACCGGGTGATTCCCCATCCTTTTCGACCATGGTTCTGTTCAAGAACCGATCGCATTTTTTTCCTGCCTTTCCGGAGTTGTTTCTTCTAGAAAAGGCATATCTTTGGAAAGACGGAAGGTACCCTCCCTCCCAGCATGGAACCTGAGAAAAGCCCCTTGGAGGACCATTTTTCCTCCAATAAATGGACCCTCTGGTGGGTAAATGTTGACCCAGGATTAATCAACCCGTCCCATTATTAGGGTGTTAACTCCAAAAGTGGTCTGAATCCCGACTAAAAGGGGACACACCCCTATTGATCAACCAGGGGTTTATTAATCCGGGGTTAACATTACCTTGGTGCATTTTGCTTGGATGTTAGGACTTTAACTTTTTGCCCACCAATGGGTTTTCCGTATTCAGCCCCTAAAAGTTATTCACGTTTAGCAGGGGAGCAGATTTCGCAACCGAGATTACCTCATTTGAAGTTTCTGAGTTGACAATTGTTTGCCTTCCTGCGTGCTCCATGCCAGGAGGGAGCTGAAGCCAGGAACGCCACGGAGGCTTGGGAGTGAAATCTTTGCGTCTTTTGGTTCTTGGTCCCATGCCCTATCGGGGGGTTCCCAGCCGTCCGGTCCCTTAGTTTTTTTTGGTTTTGAGTTAGTTTAGTGGTTGGGTTTCCATCTGGGTGCCGATCTTTTAGTTTGGTTTCAAAGAAAGAACTAAGGGGAAAGGACTTGGTGTTGCTGTAGCTGAAGACATGCCCATGGATTTGCCTCGATTTGTTCAAGGGCTGTTTCGGGACGGTTTCGGGCGCGATCCAGGTTCCAGAAAGCAAGTCTTTGGGGATACGTCTCAGGCTGGTTGCGGAGGTTTGATGGGAATTCAAAGGAATCCGCCCATGTCCGGGTTGGCTTGAAGATGTTTGAAAGAAACCCAAAAAGACATCAAAAGCCACCTTGCCAGATTTGACATTGGTCATTGTGCTCCAAAGGGTGAAATTTGGCGCAAAATCAAACTTTCTATCCATGACAAAACAAAGCTCGGTCGAAGAAGAACCGAAGGAAAACCGAAGAGAGCCGAAGGAGAAACCAAGGAGAAACCAAGAAGATGTTAGGGGTTCCAACGCTCTTTGCGAGACAACCCCGATACTTGACGTCTTACTGAGGATTGCGCCAACCATGTCTTTATCCAACTTTGAACCATTTGGCAAAAATGAACCATAGGTGTCGGTTCCACTGGTTTCCCTTTGATTCTCTTCTCATTTTCCAGTTCACCCATCTATTGTTGTTTTTCCAAAAGGACGCCTCTGGCCCCAAACCTGTCAAAAAATCAATGTTGTGTTTCGTTTGGTTTCCTTTTGGTTCTTCCGGTGACGGCCCGAGACCTCACAAACCCAATGGGTTTCCTTTTGGCTTCCCAGGTCACCTGGGGCTGGCCAGTTCCCCAATTTTTTGTCCCCCCGTTCTCCGGCGGAGAACGGCGGGGCTGCGGCTTCGGCTTCGGCTCGAAAGGCGGTGAAGCTTCAGCTGGCGGACCGGGCATCCAAGGTGGCCCAGCTCGAGGCGAGCGCCGACGCCGGCGAGCCGGCGGCTAGAACCGGGGGGGGGGGGGGGGGAACCGTTTTGGGGATGTGGGTGACTTGAAAATGACAAATCTAGTCATGTTTGTAGGTGTAAACTATGAGTAAGTACGTGGGCCTTTGTATTATCTACAGTGACCTTTCCTGCCTGCCTTTTTTTTTGGCTGGGGGGGAGGGGGGGCTGCCGCCCACTACTCAGCGGGCCATTTGGCTAGAACAACAAATTGGGCTTTATAGTACCTCACCAACTAACCCGAAACGCAGCAGAAAAATGCCCCAGTCAGAAACGGATTGTCGGAGGGAATGAAAGCGAAACCAAAGGGAACCGCCACGTCGAGCATGTCGCCTTAGCTCGAAAGCATCGGTGTCAGGGTTGTGGGATCAAGGGGCTTCTCCCCACTTCTGCGATAGAAAATTCCCCACAGCCCATCGGTGTGGATCTTGTTTCTTTGGATTGCGCTTCGTCACTTTTCAGGTTTGTTCAAACTTGCCTCGGTGCAGACCTGGGGCCTGACTCCACAAGCCCCAGGCCGCGAATTGCGCGCATTGCAATTCCCCTGCGGACAAGCCTAATGATGGATCCACGCATTGGGGAAACTGCCGAGTTTAAGCCCATGGGTTGCCAAGCGAAGGTGTTTGGTTTGAAGGGTCAGCTCTGGGTGAGTGCAATCCACGAATACCGGCCATGAGGAGAAGGAGCTCACCCGTGGTGGTCTCTTACTTGCGGAAATGTCCTCCAGGGTGAAATATGGTGGACTCCTCATGTCCACTGATCAACTGCATTTGGGTAACCTTGGGTATGTGGCAAAATAGGGTGGGACCCACAAAATGCTTGGTTTCCTTTTCGTTTCCCATGCAAACCACTCACCAGAACGGTACCTTCTGCCAAAAAAGGCGAGGCATATCCTACTCTGACCCATCGCGAGAATTCCTTCGCGGCACTGCAGGGCTCCGTCGGGGAGAACCGCAACCAGCTGAAGACCATCCAGCAGCATGTGGACAGCCTGATGCAGGCCGGAGAGGGGTGGCTTTCGCGAATCTGGGCCGAGAAAGTGGTTGAGGGTGATGGTTGGCGCCAAGCAGTGACCCGCTTGCGCTCGGCGTTTAGAAGCCGAGTCGAAAGGAGACCTTCTTCTTTTTTTTTTGGGGGGGGGGGGCATTTTCTGAGGAGCCTCCAGAGGATCACCAACATCATGTTGGTCTCTGGGGACAGCGAGTTTCCTCTAATTCCCTACCAAAATGAGCTCAAAGAAGCGGAACCGCTTGAGGCGAGCCCACTCATCCATCCCAAACTGACCTAAGATGGCTTCCAAGGATCGCAGAGCTGGTGAAACACCAGGCCCAGCGACTTCGGGGGATGGACCCCTTGAACTTTTTCTGAAATGCGGATCTTGTTCGGGCTGTGACCATGCGGGCCCGTCGGCCTTTTTTGAGGCTCCTTGTGATTGTTTTCTTGTAGTTGAAAAACCCAGTGTTTATTACCAACCCGCCCGTTTTGGGGGCGTCCAACCTACAAATAAACAACAACCCAACCGGGACCCACGTGAAGAGATTTGTCCCATCGCTCCGGGCCATGAGAAGTTTAGTCGTCGCCAGGACCTCATGGACCGAACAACCAAGAGCTCGGAGGAGGAGGCGGCCTTCGCTGGCCGGTCTACGTCCATTTAACTTAAGAATCTCTGGCATTTTCCCTTGTGGGTTTTAAAAGGAATTTATATCACTGCTGGAAATATGTGCACTTTTTTCCAGGGGTCTTAGCCAAATGGAAGTAGATGGAGGTGGTTGTCGATAGGGCAACCCCAAAATGGTGCCCTGGTGAATGGAGCCAAGGACCAAACCCGCGGTCCAATTCCAAGTGGTGACGAAGTTTGACCCGTACCCATATGGCTGTGGGTCAAACTCAATGGTACCATTTTGGTTGGTAGGTGAATTCACCACCCATTTTAGAACCTATTTTAGAGGGGATTGGGATGGTCACTGGGGGTACTCCCATCCCTCGAGACAAAGTATAGCATAGGGTTTAGAAACAGGGCCGGGCGTCGGAAGCAGGCGTTGGTTTGCGCCCAAGTGTATTGCCTTTCAGGGGTACACTGGGGAACTGGTTTGACTCAAAGGGGGCAGTGGGACGCTTTTGATTGGAGAGGGTCTTTTTTAGTTTGTTCTCCCAAAATCCACAAGGTTTTGCCGGGGTTTGGGTCTGTTTCGAGTAGCTGGTCAAAGTCAGATTGCCGGTTTGGCGGTTTTCCTTCAGCCTACCGCTTGGGGCGAGCCCCTAAATGTTCAGGTTGGTGTCTATGATTCACTTGGTGGTTAAAAGCTGGACCCCAAACTGATATCCTGCCGTTTGTTCCCAGTGACGAATTGAAATCAGGTCAGAAAACAACTAAAAAAAAACAAAACAGGACTTTGGTGGGGCCGCTGGGGTCATTGGCGCGGGTGTTCCCTTGAACATATACTGCAATTTGAAGATGATGCCTTTTCCGCACCAAACAGGGTACCGGCATTTTTTGGGGCAAGCTTTGAACAGATGATGTAAGAATGGCATTTCGGGTGTCCTTTTTCGATGTCTTAGGCACACACGTGCATCCCTTTGGACAGCAATCGGGGCGAGAGCGCTCTCACAGGCAGCTCTGACGAACCTGGCGAGACAGCTGCACCAGGAGCAGGAGGCAAATTCGATGCTGCCATGGCAAGCTGTTTGTTTTTACTGGGGGAGAGGGGGGTTTTGGCGTTTGGCGTTTTTGGCGGTTTGGTGTTTTGGTCCCGGCCTGTTGTCGGGTCTACATTTGTGTGTTTTTGTTGTGTATGCGTCCTTTTTGTTGGGGGGGGGGGGGGAGTGTCAGAGTTTTTTTTGCCTTGGCCCGCTCCGGAGATGTTGATGGTATGACCCAGGCTTGCGTCAGCTTTTTGCATTGAGATACTTCAATTTCCGCAGATCGGATGCAAAAGCCCATAACTGTTTGTCCTTTCATATAAAGCAAAATGGAGTTATCATACATTAATATGCTGTCTTCTTACCAGTTGCTGGAATAACATCTGTAAGATTATCGGATGGTGTGCATCTTGGAAAGCAATCGGTATTGAATGAAAGCATGAAAGATATGGGTCACGAAGAATAGCAGTTTACAGTAACCAGCGCAATCTAAGGCTACAACATACCCCCCCCCAAAGATGGGCCGGGGCAATGCAAGGACAATCTAGAGTGCAGACACTACTCTCATGCCTACGTGACCAAACCTTTCTGAGAAGGACCTTAGATTCCAGAGACAAATTGCACAGGTGACCTCATGAGGGCGACAAGTCACCCATGAAATGCCCTTTTCATGTTGTGTTTTTATCTCATTTGAGTCGGTGGCGACTTGTCATAATTCATCCAGCTCAATGCACAGAAGCACCAAGCTGGATCGCCAACGGCAGCGTCCCGCGACCGTGACAGTGTTTGTTTTTTTTGCGGCAAGGTGTGGCGAAAGGAAGCGGCTTGGCCAACTGTTTGGGGCACTTGCAGTGTTAGGAGGGTATGATGTCAACGCTCCCATGTATTGAAGATGCGCCGGCCAGGTTTTGGACCGAATTCAGCGGGAGAAGGTCTGCGAGCCGATGGGTTGGGTACTGATCGAGCTTGAAGAGGTAGCTTCAACGCTCTTTTGCTAGCGCACTTTAAGTGGTGGACAGGAATCCAACCGCGGAACTATGATGTGCACCAAAGGGTCCCCCATTAAAATCCACACCAAGTGTCGAGAGTTGGTTCCCCTGAAAACAGATGATCCTGAAGGGTAGAAGTCTTTGAAAAGGGATGTCGAATCGAGCCATACCCGTCCTCAATTGAATAGTTGTCGTCCATTTGCTTAAGAATATGTTGTATTTTCACTGGTTTTCATCCAGGGACTTCAGCAAATGGAGGTTGGTCACCTTGTCCGACCTCAGGTGCCCCAAAGGTCACTTGCTACTCTGTCAGCCTGTTGTTTCTTCTTGCATATTCAGTGTGGCACACCGGGCGCGGAAGGAGGTAGGGACCCGCTTTTTCCAAGCCCCAGCTTTGTTCTGCTGGGCCCAACCAGGTTGAGATCTCGAAGTCAACGGGGCTCATTGCTGCCAACACTGGAGAGTTCCCTTGCTTGTTATTGTTCTTCTCAAGAACCGCCAAAGTAAGATGAGGGGAACTCAGATCGGCCAACCCGAACCAATTGAATAATTCGCCCAGACAAAGGTCGGTCCTGGCCCAATCCATCGAAATTGCGCGAATCGCAGCGGTTTCCGAACGTTGGCCTGGTTTCCTTTGGGTTTTTTCTGGGTTTTTTCTGGGTTTCCTATGGGTTTTCCTTTCGGTTTCCGCGGGTTTCCCTTGGCCTTCCGTGGGTTTGCGGCGGGTTTTCGTTTGGTTTGCCGTGGGTTGTCCGGCCCTCAGGAGAAGCTCGCGGAGGCGGCGAGCAAGGCCTTGCAGAAGAGCGAGGCGGGAGCCCGGCCACGAGGTTTCGGGAAGCCGTGGTGATGTGGACGGACGAAATCCATTTCGCACCACTTCTAGGTCCCCCAGCTAGGTGCCAACTTTTACCGTTTCTTTTTTTGGGGAGGGTTCCCCTACTAAAATAGACTACAGAAAAAGGTACCCTTATTCTAACCCTCTCTACTGGAGGACCTAGACTTTGAAACCATGGGAAACCATTGTTTGTTGGTAATTACAGGCGAATCAGGGTTTCTTAGGTGGTGCAAGATTTCGTCCATCCACAGGAGTGTCTGGGTGAATTATAACGACCTCACACGACATCACCCCAAATGATGGTTTATGTGGGGAATAGCCCCCCCAACCACCTTATTTCAGGTTGGTGAAATATCATAATTCACTCAGATAGTGTGAATCGATGGCACTGGGTTTACCATGGTGTCAATTCTCAGGATTTGGCCAACCCATGTCAATCCAACTTTGAGCCATTTGAAACCAAATTTGAACCTTAGGTGTCCGTTTGATCGCTTAGTTTGAACGTAGATAGGGTCCAACTGTCTCCCTTTGGTTCTCTTCTCATTTTGTGCCATCGATTTTCCAAAGCTTACTCCCCTGGAAGGTCCGTTGTTTTGCTCGAAATCGAGGGCGATTCCTGGTTCGTAGACCAGGGAGATCCATCTTTCTCAAAAGGACACCTATGAAACACCCTTCTCCTGGACATCGCGGCCCTTTGTCTGAAAGCCCCAGAGACCATTCCCCTAAACGCGGATAGCCTCCCCGATTTAGTCACAGTTGGGGTTTCGGGCATTGTAGTGGTCAAAGGTTTGAAGCCTTTTGACACACCGGGAAGTGAGAGTCTGAAGAGTTGGTTTCAATTCCTTGTTCAGGGTTGTAAAGATGGGCGTTGCTTGCAACAAAGTACCATAGCACTCGACTTTCTTTTTTTCCGCTGGATCAGCGAGCTTGCTGTCAGGAGAGGGGAATACCATAGGAACTATACCCTACGTCCTGTCTCCGCATGCCTTGGATCCTCTTTGGGGCACATGTTGCCCAAGGCAACAGTTTAGAACCAAATTACAGCAATCGGATCGGGGTTGTCTCAACACAGGGAGTACCAATGGTGGTCGGTTTGAATTCCCATTTCAACCCCTACCAGGATAGCAACTCTAAAAAGAAACATGCATCAACCGGTATGTGCATTTGACCTGAAAACAAGTGAATCTATAGTGGAACTGGTACATGAGTAGAACCAACACGAAACTATTGTAGAATCCCTGTATAGAACATACATCCAACTCGCGACTGTTTCCTACATCATCATTCTGAGGCAAGGCCGTCTCAGATGTTGGGAAGCCTTGATCCAGCATCTATTTCCGGGGTGTCAAAAATGAGGAGAACGGCAGTCGGAGAAAAACAAAACAAAAACGTCCGGCATAAGGGTGAAGGCTTGGTTTTGAACCCAACAAAGTCTGCCCTGTTGGTCTCCATTCTTTTTTGTTTTGACGGGGGACCAGGTTCCCTAGGTCTTTTATGTGGACCCAGTTGATTTTTGGTTTGGAAATGGTACCTTTGCCCCTTTCCTAAAGGTCATCGGCACAGGTTTAGGTGCGTTGCAGTGGCTTCCGTGCCACTAAGCTTGGGGGCTTGAGGTGGGTGTCTTGGAACCCCATCTTTCTTTCTTTTTTTGTTGGGGGGGGGTTCTGGTTTGGAATGTTTGGGAGGTTCCCGGCCGAAGGTGGGAGAACTTTGGTATGCCCAAATTTCTGGCGCGCCAGTCAGGATTCATAGAATTCACAGGGGTGATAAACCGTCAGTACAGTTTGGTATCCCATCCATTTCCAAGCTGCAGGGGAAAAGTCACAGCTTCCTCTCTTGGAACCCCTACTTTTGGGCGAACCTTCACTCGGCTTTGGCATTGCCCAAAACACATTGCCATCAACCGATTTGAAACATGCTGAAGGCGCGTCAAGTATCAACAGCCAGAGACTGCCCTCTCACAGTCATGCAATACCAAGTGTTTCACCATGATTTCCTTGAACGTCACACCAGATGTCCAATGATCCGCTGAGGATTGTTATCGCCACAAGCAGCTGTTGCAAGACGACCAGCAGGACACAAGTCGGCAGGAATTCGATTTCCGACGTCATCTCGGGACAATCGACATCGTGCCGCACTCTCATATAAGCGACCACCAACATGGCTGTGGCTCAATAAAAACATGAGCCAAAATCGCACCTTGCTAAACGGAACCAAAGGCAAACAGCTGCGTAATCCCAGCTCGTTGATTTTGAGCCACACCCCAAATGGTTTGCCTTGCTCCGATGGAACCAGCCACCACGCTTGGCGCAGCTTGTTGGCCTTGGACCGTTTCCTTGGGGTCCCATTCCTGGTGTTTTGGTCCGGCTCCAAACATGGGGCGAGGCCTAGAATTGGCTTTGTGGACGTTGGTAAGCCCAACCATCTGGGCCGAAATCGGCAAGGAGAACACAAAAAACCCTCCGGAACCGGCAGATGTGGCAGATGGGTTCCATTTTGCCGCAGAGGCGACTGCATTGTGCCCCACCTCCAAACTCAGTGAAAAGCGCTGCGGGTGATTCAAATATAAGAGAAACCATCCCCAAATTGGCGTTGTTTTTTTCCCCCTTGAATCAGTTGGCAAGGGTGGTTCCTCAATTTTTAGGAACAAGTGGCACCTTCCGTCTGCAGAACAAACAATTCGCAGCGGGACGGCTATGGCTTCTTTTGCCTTGCCGAGGACCTCGCAGGTCTTTCCAGATTGGTATCATGTACTCTGCGTCGGCCAACTTGACACGTTTGAGAGTTGCCTTTCACTTGTTTGAGGCGGTCAACTTGATGTTGCTTTTGTTGCAGTCCGAAAATATATTTGAATTGTTCTGGCCGGCAAACTGAGAAACTCGAGGGAGCATGACAATTTTGGTCAATTTGTGAGGGACATGGGGGCACTCACGAGATTTACCACAAATACTGTTTGGGGGGATTGTGTCTATTGGTGCCCGCCCTTTCCGAAAGGGTCAGCCTTCCATCTCGTCCCATGTGAAGAAATGGGTATGTGGCCAACATCCAAGGCCCAACACATTGTGCTACTCCTTCGGGTGTCCTATAGCCCGTGTCAAAAGGGTAGCCTCAAAGACATGCTTCGAACGGGTTCAGGAGAAGGGCTTGGCCCAGCAGTCCGACCTTTTGGCCCAGTCCTGCAAGATCGCCGCTCGGCGGATCTGACGAAGGGAGCGGGACGCATTGAAGCGTACACCATATTTCTGGGTGAATTGTCACGACCTCACACGACCTGACCCCAAGTGGTGGTTTATGTGGGGAATAGCCCCCCTCAGGTTGGTGAAATATCATAATTCACCCAGATATTTGTGCCATGGTCCAACGACCTTTGTTTGAAAGTGTGGCACCGACCAATTTTCAGGGTCCCGCATGTTCAGATGTCGGTTTCAACCATGAAGCTTCTCTGCGGGATGCGTATAGGAGCCTTTCGGGCGGCGGTTATCTCATTTGGTTTCCTTTGAGCCAAAACCAGTCTGTGTCAGCTATGGGGTTCGAGTGGCTGGCAAGGCGAGCTCTGAGTTGGAAAGCACCCTATCCGAGCTCGGCCAGCTGCACCAGGCCCTGCTGGGAAATCACACGAGTGTTTTTTTTAGAGATGGTAGGTTTTCTGTTGTTTCTCTTTGTTTGGTGAAACCACCAAACAAGGGGTACCCCTTAAAGAATACACACACACACACAGACACACGCCCATTTGAATACGGCTTGTTTTGGTGAGGCTCAGCACCCTTTTCAGGTCGGTTGAGAGGAGAGCCAAAGAGAAACCTCCGAGTTTGGGATAGGATTAGCTTAATGCGTACCCCCTTGTAGGATTTAGTTGCCATAATCATGCACAGCACACCATTTAGTCGTGAATTGCTAATTTTTTCGGAGGCTCCTTTCCATCCCAAAGCGAGGATTCCATGGGGGACGCACGAGACACCTAACTGATTCTTCCCTTTGAGGAGCGCCCAATACTGAGTCCCAGTGGAAGCTCTACCCTGCGCATTCCTGAGATCCACGTCCTTTGGATCGGTTAGTTTAGTTAGACAGATGGGTTCTACTTGTTTAGATTGACTTCATTCTATTTTGTTTAATGGCCATCATTTTTTCCAAAAGGTTACCTATGGTAAGATCCCTGTAAGGTCATGACCATCTTGGTAGAACCAAACGTCAATGAGTTTGAAGCGCTGCTCAAATGGACTTGGAACACCGATACCAACAGGAGATCCCGTTGAATTAGATGTTCGGCTTCTTTGAGGGTTTCCATTTGAAGAAGCTGCAGAGGTTGGCAGAACGACTTGACCAAGTCCCGTTGACACACGCAGTTGGGACAAGGGCTGATTCTTCTGGAATTCCCGTTCCGGATTTCGGGCATCAACATATCAACGGCCAATTGGAATCCTGGACTTCCCCCCCCCGGCCGCGTAGAGTTTTTTGCGACATCCTGCCTGCAGGCTTTTGGCTCGTGTGAGCCATGGGGCCTCCATAGGCCTTGGAAAAGCCTGGCATGCGCCAGTCGCATGCATTCTCCTTGCTGTGGCTGGGACTCTTCCTGGCCATAGCGCCCAGTAGCTCTGCCAAACCCGGTCAGCACGTTGCCGTTTCATATGATGCGAAGCTGGAGGCGCAGGAAGTCACGACGCCGAAGCCAAAGAAGGTAACGACCACCAAGGGACCCTTGGAGGATGAAGTGGAGAGCACCATCGCGAGGGCTCAGAGCGAGGCAGGGCTCAAGGGCTTGGAAGTTTGGCGTTAATAACGCGCTCCGATATGTTGCGGGGAACTCTGCTAGCAGGGAAACTTCGTGTTTGGAAAGGCAAGTTATGGTCCCCACTTTACCAGAGAACCGTCGCCTTCTTTCAAAAAGCAACATCGTTCGTGGTTGCGACGTGGTTGCAGGCAGTTTCCCCATTTGTTGCGGGCTTGTTTGTTTCTCGCAAGCGCCGCCGCCCAAGCAAATGGTGCAGTTCCTCATTGACTAGGTCCCCCAGTAGTGCCCTTTTACCCTTTTTTGGGGGGAGGGTTCCCCTACTAAAATAGACTACCGAAAAAAAATGGTACCCTTATTCTAACCTCTCAAATCTGGAGGACCTAGTTGAGACCCTTTGACTTCGATCGGTCCCCGGTCCCCGGGTGCAGGACTTCGATCGGCTGAGAGAGGACGCCAAGCGCCACGTGCACTACACAGCGGCCACCTCGCCCACGGGCACGGGCGCGAGCCCCGTGCGCCACACATGGTACTTCCAGGGCTCAGGGCCGCCGGTGGCGGCTCGGAAGAAAGGAAAGAGAACCAGGACTTGGAAAACCCCGAAGGAGTTGGATCCCCAAAAAGTTGGAGCCCCAAAAAGTTGGATCCCCAAAAAGTTGGATTCCCAGAAAAGAGAAGGAGTTGGATCCCCCCCCCAACAAAAACACCGCGCCTTGAGTCTTTTGGGCCCCTCCGGGTCCCTTTTGGGAATCTCCAAAAGTGGCAACGGGTCCCAATGGAAACCACCAGTCAAGTGACCACCTAGGGGTAAATCAGGTGCAGATCGGTTCATTTCTTTGGGGCTCTATTTGAGGTGACTGCGTCTTGTTTCAAAGGATTCTGGGGTTGCTCCCCCTATTCAAGCAGAGGAGTCTTTTGAACGAACCTCAGAGCTTTCGGGTACCTTCGCAGGTTCTTGACATGATTTCCTGGTCCTTCGGGGTGCGAACCGAAAGGAACCTGAATGAGGACCCCGAGTTGGGAGCATCCGGAAGGGATCCTCACAATGAAACCGGGCCCCGTTGAAACAGCCTTCTATAGGCCCGATTTTGGCGGGGGGTCCAACGTTTTGAGACAAAGCCACATCGCTATAGTAATCGTGGTTGTCCTTTTTGGCTCCACTTAAAGCCAACCTGAAGAGGATACCTTCAAAAAGCTCAGCCACACAGCATGCCGCGTCGGCAGAGGTGGATGTGGTCGAAGATGAGATTGCTGCCAAGCAGCAGCGCGAGGCCAAACTGGGACTCGAGGCCAGGCTTTCCCCTTTCACGAGAAACGTGCAGGAGAAGGTTGAAACATCATGAAAGAAGCCTTTTTTTTCTGTGCTTCAGATCAGAAAGGTGGCGGCCTGTTATGGCACCCTTCTTTCCTCCCTTCTTGCCTTGCCCATAAGTTCTTAGCCTTTTCGGGGCTGAACGCCCAGCGTTCTTCCTCCAATTGACGGGGCTCTCTGGGCCAGAGTTGCGCATTGCTTGAAGCACGGCGGTCGCAGGGAGACCGACAGCTTCTTTGAACAGTGGTTCCCTTCCCAAGTCCAGTGATTCCATCCCCCAGGTATAGGCCAAGGAAATCTGCCCTTCATCCAAAAGGACCATGGCTTGCCCACGCAAGGTGACGTGTTTTTGCCGGGCTGGGCCGACTGCCGAAGGCTTTTTTTCGGCCCCTTCCTTGAGGCCATCCCCATGACGGTCCAGCGCGTGGCGGTGAGTTCCACCGTGAAGATCGACGAGGAGTACTTCCCCAAGGGCTGCTTCGAGCCGCGGCACTCCTCGCAGATCCCCACGGGGGAGAAGTGCCCCGAGGCCTGCCCCCTCTTCGCGGAGGACCGGGTAAGTCCAAGGCTGGACTTGCGGTGGCTGTGTGGGGGGGGTCGTTTCATTTCGCAACCAAAGAAGAGGGGAGAGAGATCGCAACCCTTGACGCCATGGATTTGGGCGGATTTGGGGGGCTTGGGGTTGGGTGTGTCTTTTTTGGACTCCCCAAAATGGTTGGCTGCAAAGCCAACCGCAAGACGGTACACCCAACAGAAAGCAAGGCCCAAGTTCCGCAAGACGGTACACCCAGCAGAAAGCAAGGCCCAAGTTGGTTTATCCACCAAAAGCAGTGCGAAGGGTTCTTCCAGTAGAATCGCCAGCCTCATCGCGCAGCTAAATAGCATGCATGCAGAGCAAGATGCACGAGAGCAGATGCAGAGGAAGTTGTGCAAGCGTGCAAGCAGAGTAAATTTACGAGAGCAAATGCAGAGCAATTTGCGAAAGAGGACATGCAGACCAATCAGCATGAGATCACACTCAGAGCAAGATACCCATGGAGTGGTTGCTGGATTTCGTTCGGGAGGGTTTCAACAAGCAGGGTTCTTGCAGGGTTACGGTGGTTGCTGTGGAGAGGTGCCAGTTGCTGAGAGGAAACCAACATGTTGGCAGTTCCACTGCAATCCTTAATCCTTGTGTTGTCAAGGAGTCCTTTTGTGATTTCCCGATTCCACGTATGCGCAATACATCTGCAAACGATACAATGTTTCCAAGACCTGCAGCAAGGGATCCCCAAGCAAAGGACGTATACATCATGGTGGGCTTGCTTTAGTTGAGGTGAGCTCAGCATAATATATAGGCGCCATATGGGCATATCAAACATGGGGTTCCGTTAAGAAGAACAGACCCCTGTGTCACGCCGTGATAAAGCCTAGAATCGGGGACAGCCTAATCCAAAGCATGAAGTCGCACCCTTTTCATTGTTTAGTATACCGCGCTTTGGGACGACTCTTAAATACAAGTTTGAGATATATGACTCGATTGGAAATATGGAAGATGGTCAAAGAAGACATGGGCCACACGAGATCTGCGTTTGAGGTTGCAATAGAGCACCCACTATTTCACCAATTTGACCCCCCCCCCCCCCGATTTGGGTGTTCAACCCACTGAGTAGGTCAGAACTTTATATCCATGGCTACAACTGGGAGAATGCATAAAAGCTAACCCTTTCACTAAGTCTGTAGGTTGTTGCCACGGTCATAAGCGCATCAGCTTCATTGCCAGCTCTAGCCATGATTACAACCTACTGAGTTTGTGGAACATCCAAACAATCGGCATGAATGGGAAACACCCTGAAACATGGTGGGACAGTTGAACGTTCCGAAACCCCCGAAGGTTCCGTTGCCAAACAACATGTCAATGTGTGTTTTTGTGCTTGGCCTGGTTGGAGGTCACCCCCATTCTTTGTTTGGTGTGATGGGAGGACAGCTTGTCATTTGTTTGGGTTGGTTGAAGGACACTCCGTTTCTATTTGCTTTGGTTTGCTTGGAGTGCACACCACACGTTTGCTTGATGTGCTTGGAACACAGCCTCCACATGGCACCCCGCGCCTGAGCCGAAAGCCCCCGCTTTTTGCGCCGGGCAACTACTTTTTTGCGAAGGACACGGGCTCGCCCAGCCACTGCAACTTCAAGTGCGTGAACGTGTCCCACTGCGGGCTGCACAACCGGCACACCAACCTGGCGCAGCCGGTGCCAGATGTCGCGCTGGGCTTTTGCCGGCGTTGCTCGGTGCCCGGGTGCCACCGCTGCAACCGGGACTCCCACGCAGAGCTTCGGCGAATACGGCGGATGTGCCCGGTGTTTCCATGTGTTTCTTTTGGGGCGAGGGGGAGGGGGGGTTGTTCCATGTTTTCTTTTTGGGGGTGGGTGGGGCTAGTGGGTTGCCCTTCCTCTTTGTGGATTTGGTACCCCCGAAATGGCTGCGGTTGTTCTTTTGGTTTCCCATTACCACCAAAAAAGGGTACCTTGACAAAAAGACAAGCCCTAATGCGTTTTGGAGGGTACCCGTTCTAGGTTGGC